ATGTCAATAATAGTCGGCCAGATTGTCATATGACAAATAAACACCTGTTACGTTGCTCCCGACAAAAATATTGAACGGGTAAGTTTTTTCTCACTTTTTGAGTAATTTTTTTGCATACTTCACAAGAACTGTCTTCCAAGTATACCGTTCATAAGTTGTTTAACTGTTTATTATATATTTATACGTATATTTGTGAATATATTTCACATGGTAAAGCCGGCTTGTTCGTTGACAGTTTTTTTAGCGGCTAGTTTCAAATTCATTTGATACTTGTGCCTAATTCGTACTCGCAGCAACTTCTTAAAACGTTCGTACGTACGATTTAGGAAAATAATGTTTAATATCACAGTAAATATTAATTACTTGCTTGATTATTTTTTAGTTTGTGTTTTTATTTAATAAAACTAAAAAAAACATTATTTTATGCAGTAATTGTGAAGTATGGGTACATGAGCTATGTGCAAGACGAATTAAAAAAAACAAAATTTTATTACTGCGATGACTTTCAAGATTTGGAAAAGACCAACCGCTGTATTAATAAGAATAAGGTAATCTAGGTAGGTACAGTCAGCTCCAAAAGTCGATGAACAGAATCAACTTACCAAAACACCTGTTCACAATAAAACGCCATAAGTTATAGTCGCAACTAGGAAACAAAATAGCCTGTATACCAGAAATTTACAAAAGTCGTTACACACGACTAATTCAAAAGTATCTGTGCACTATAGTATTCCTAAAGTCGCTGTACACCTTCAATCCAAATGTCGCTGAACATCATTGTATCAAAAGTCACTAAACAGCGGTAAAGACAAAATTAGGTTAACAAAGTATATGTCGGCGCACTGGCCATCAGTGCATGTAAAACCTCTTTGTTATACGTCGATGTCAAACTTCACTGTCAACTGTCATAATTATTTCAAGTCCATAGCGAACACCGAGCTCTGGTGAGGCGGCCTTCTTGTAAAACAGGACAATTAGTGTTGGACCTTCGTAGAATACGCACGCGGCCACGTGTTCGGTGGACGTTAAGTTCAAATTCAACCTAATCCTAATTATCCTTAGTTAAATTGTAATTGTTTTTTTTGTGAGGGGAAAATCATCAAATAACTTCTCCCGCCCAGGGCCGGGCAGGAGGGAGTGTCAGACTCTTACTGACTAAAAACCCCCCTGTTCCTTCTCCTGCTCTGTGCCGAGGTCGCGGTGCCTCATTGCGCTTACCCCACAACCCCGGCTGAGGATACGGCGGTGCTCAACCCAAGCAGGGCATGCCGCTACCGTATGCTCCACCGTATCCTCTAGGTGGTAAATTGTAATTGTTGTGATTGTAATATCAAGAGTTGTAAGAAGAGTGATTATAGCAACAGTTATTTTATTGAAATACTGTCTTCCTGCCCAAGCGGGGCACACTTCCACCGTATATTCTACCGTGTCCTCCGGGCGATCTGTGCTAGGTGACACCCGAACGTTTCCTCCGAACAAGATAAGAAAGAAAACAGCGTTTTTTTTTAGCGTCGGTGTTTGTCGGGTTTTAGTTTTTTTACTCTGGTTGTTTTGTCCGCTAGAGGACGCCGCATTAGATTTTGTAATACATCATATAACTTATAACCAGCGGACAATTAAGACGTTTCTAATGATATGTCATATGTCGAATTCTTTAAATTTTAGCATTGCCGTAGTCGGGTAAAAATAATAAATTAAAGGAAGGTAGGTTTTGTAAGACTTGCGCAAAGTAAATTACAAGTACCGTCACAAAAATCACTTCGTAGATCATTAGAGTTATGTTTATGTTATTTAATAAATTATAGATTAGTATGATTACTGACAATAAAATATAATTTATTTGTAAATAAGTTTTAAAATATGTAGATACTAACGTGTTAACATACATTATTAAGTTCTAGCAAACACTGTCCCAAAAGTAGCTGAACAACATAAGCGTCAAAAGTATATTAACACGGGGCAACATTAAAAATATACTCTGTTAACCTAATTTTGTCTTTACTGCTGTTTAGTGACTTTTGATACAATGATGTTCAGCGACATTTGGATTGAAGGTGTACAGCGACTTTAGGAATACTATAGTGCACAGATACTTTTGAAATAGTCGTGTGTAACGACTTTTGTAAATTTCTGGTGTACAGGCTATTTTGTTTTCTAGTTGCGACTATAACTTATGGCGTTTTATTGTGAACAGGTGTTTTGGTAAGTTGATTCTGTTCATCGACTTTTGGAGCTGACTGTACATTAAGATTAAAAAGAGTAGAAGATTATTAAGATTTTGATTTTTAAGACTGTAAAACAATGATAGGATCTCAACGTACGATTTAAGAATATACTGGTACGATTTAAGATCAATAGCCTTAAATCGTACTTTTTTTAAGTTTTTGAAAATTGTTTATTTCTCAGAAGTTTATAAGATTTATGTTATTTTTTATCGGAATACTAATAGAACATTAGTTTAATTATAACTACTTAATATAAATAACTGTGTATCATTGTTCATTTTCAAAATTTTCGAGGTTCTCCTTAAGTGGTACGAATTAAGCAAGTTTACCCTATTATGTCATATCACCATATATCATATTTTGTTTTCTTTTTTTACAGATAATGAAGAATTCCAAGAATACCCACACATCAGGATCAGTAATTCGAATAGAAAAAGAAATGAAAGATAGCCGAAACATTTTTACTCTGCATTTTTCTAAACTGTCTCCGTGATTTATAATTTTTTGTTACCACAATTAACTAACATCAAAAAAAATTTATGGGTATAAATTTGATATTGGCTAGATAATCCAAAATAATCTCTAATAATTAGGTATCTCTGTATTTTCTACTTAACTTAGTATTTTTTATACACCAGATGTATTTTTGGGAAATATTTAAATTAAATTACTAATATCAAGTATGTATTGATTGCCTTGCAAAAAATATAAAAAAGCTGATATTGTTTTTATTAGAGCAACAGACACAATACAAAACGATAGGTTTCTAATTTTCATTTTGTTGATTTGTATGTTTATATGTTCATTATTAAAACGCTTCTGAATAGAATTGAATGTGATAATCGGTAATATACCTACCTAATTTATAATCTATTTTTAGCGTCATTTTGATAAGCTGTCTGTGAGACCCAACGATAGTGCGTCTAGTAGTTTTTAAGTTTAATACATACATACATGCAGACAGACAGATAGGAAAGGAGACTTCTTTCTATGTTTCTTGCAAGGATTATTATGTATTTAATTGTGTGTAATAAAATAATTATTAAGATTCCGCCGTAGATACGTAATAGATGTAAATAGTAGGAATAATTTACAAACATTTGAAATCTTATTTTTTTATAAATAGTTTATAAAACTGTTATGAGTACCTATTAGTTATAATACTTATTAATAATGAATAAATTATTATAAAGATCACTGTTTTTGTTTTGTTTTTATGTGTTAGGGCTGCAAACGAGCAGGCGCATTACCTGATGGTAAGCAACCGGCGCCGCTCATGAATACCCGCAACCCCAGAGGAGTTACACGATCACGGCCTATTGGTGATTTACTCGAGTTTTGGAGATTTAGGGATTTAGGACCTTACTCACACGGTGAAACAAAACGCTGTTGCTAATGCTAATGCAATTTTCGTACTGCTTGCCAAGTGTGGGAAATCCGCTAAAGTTCTTTATTGGAAGTCCAGGAAAGATTTTAAATTATTTATTATGTTTTCGGTTTACTCACGTAATAATTTGACGAGATACTCGACTAGTTTCAAGCCATGCTAGAGGCCCATATTCATGAGCAGCATTCCGCGACACGCGACCCGGCAACTGTCGCGCGCTGTCGCCGAGTCGCGTGTAAGCCGAAAACATAATAAATAATTTAGAATGTCTCACGAAAGTTACAATAAAGATTTTAAATGCTCAGAAAACATTATTTTATTACTTCCTAGTGGCCTGCCCCTTCTTCGCATGGGTATCCCACTATTTCACTGATGACGAATGATAACACTACGAAGTAAGAACCTTCCCTTCAAAATTACAAATTTGACAAATAAAGATCAGCGAAATTGGTCTAGGCAGCAGCATTGTTGGGTTTTGCGCTCACCAACATATCAAGCGATTATTTTTTTATATTAAGCACTAGCTACTCTTACACGTTTTCACCCGCTGTTCGGCTCCATTAAATCGTAGCGTGATGATTTGTAGCCTATAGCACTCAGGAACATTGGACCTATCTATCAGTGAAAGAATTTTGGGTATCCGACCAGTGCGTCCAATGATTACCCCCTACATACAAACTTACAAATTTTACCTCTTTATAATATTAGTATATAGGTAGATCAAAAATAGAACATTCGTTAAAATGTAGGGTTTAATATGAATATACACATTTTTTTTTTAATCTTGGTCAGCCCTGAACTAGTAACGCCATCTATGAACGTCGTCAAGAAACACAATTTGCGAACCCGTGTCTCGTCTGTATCATAAGGGCGTAAGTCTACTATTGATTACGCATGCGCTCTGAAAACTCATCTTATTGAGCATCTCGCGAATTGTAAACATGTTCCTTTAAAAATATACGAGAAAATAGCATTTGTACAATAGAAAACATGAAGTTAGGATTTGTGTTTATATTTTTAATTTATTTTAGATACAGTGCTGGTGAGTATTTCTTTTATTATTATTTATATTTGTGTGGTCCTAAAATATGATTGGATCTTTGGGACTCGCATGTCGTGTCTTAAGCTTTCGTGTGCGAGATTAAGAACCAATTTTTTTAATTGTTTATGTATAAGTATTTTTCATGCGAGTATTATCTTAAATATATCGATTGACACCAATGGTACAGATGTTTAAATTAATTTAAATATTAACGATTTCAAGTATGTTTGATTAAGCTAAAATAATTTATTCCTACTTCCCACATTTTCTATCTTTGGCGCACAACAGTTCAGTCCTTATCAAAGTCTTTAAAATAAATGACTATTCATTTTATTAAATTTTCTATATGCTACTTTCAGGTGTAAAGTTGCTTGAAGCGAATCCGGATGTAAAACGGTTATATGACGATCTCCTAAGTAATTATAACCGTCTGATTCGACCGGTGACCAATGTCAGCGATATACTGACAGTCAGGCTGGGGTTAAAGCTATCACAGCTGATGGAAGTCAACCTGAAGAACCAGGTCATGACGACTAACCTTTGGGTGGAGCAAGTGAGTTCTTTTTTATCAACTATATTGAAATAAAACACCTTCTCTTCCAAATCACCAATTTATTTTTTCTCTTTTTCTGTTATTTATTTTATTAATTCTCAATTACAATTTTACTATTAGGTAATATCGGTATACTTAAACAATATTAAACTGCACTCCCTCGCGTCCCGATAACGACTCTTAATATGTTTTTTTTTGTGAGGGGAAAATCATCAAATGAGTTCCGCCCAGGGCCGGGCGGGAGGGAGTGTCAGACTCTTACTGACTGACTAAAACCCCCCTGTTCCTTCTCCTGCTCTGTGCCGAGGTCGCGGTGCCTCATTGCGCTTACCCCGCAACCCCGGTTGAACATCAGCCCTTTAGGGCCCCGTCTGTAGTGGTCTATTGGCTCTTTGAGGTGCGCGCGGAACTCTACGCGCCTTACGATCGGGAACGACTCTTAATATCAACATCTTCGAATCGAAATGATATTTCCCCACTCCATTCAGTAATGACAGGGTTACGTCACATCCGCCATTTCATAATAATATGTAAAAATTACAATTATCTAAAAATCACAATATTATAATACTTTGATAGAATTACAATATAAACATAGACTTAATTTCCTTAGTTTTAATTAAATGTTATTGAATAAATCGAAGCAATTACAACAATATCGTCAATTTTATGGATTAGATCGGCAAACCGCCGACGGATTACCTGATGGTAAGCACCCGCCGCCGCCCATGGACACCAAAGGATTGACATAGGAGGAAAAAGGGTTTCGGATATTTAAGGATGAGGAAGGGAATGGGAGAGTGGAAAGGAATTGGGCCTCAATTAATCTCATTCACACGCCGAAACACTACGCTGTGGTTGTTACTAGCCGGTTTTCTGTGAGGCCGTGGTATCACACCGGTCGAGCCGACCCCTTCGTGCCGAAGCTTATTCAAATGTTTTGTACTGACTGTCGTTGTCAGATTCCATATATTTCTTATACTTTTTTTTACCCTATAATTTTCTCCTGTGTCGTGGGTACATTAATACAAACATACAAATTCACATACAGAAACTACCCAGACCTTCTGTGTTGCTCTTTGCGGGAATCGAACCCGCGACACGATGCATAGTAGCCACACCCACTGCACCAACCGTGCAGTCAAATTGATGTGAAGAATCACCCTCTTGTACATATGAAACATATTTATTAGCGCCTGTCTGCTTGCTCTTGATTCGCACCAATGTCCAACGGCCTTGGTGTCAGTCATTTGTTTTGCTATCGAACCGTGCCAGTGGTAAGAAAAGGGTTGTTTTTTCCTGAATTTCCACCTCTAGAAGAATCTTTAGAATATTCTAGAATTTTCTTAAACATCACGGTCACTCATCACAATACGGTGGTTTCCAACTAGTCAAATTCAATACTTTTATCGAAATGTCAAAAACGACACCTTTCTATGAATTTTGTATGAAATACTGAGGCATGACGTCATAGTATTTTCACGTCAAATAGCTTACTTATTTCTTAAACATTCGCTAAAAATATCTAAAATTTAGTATATCAATCAATCAATGAATAAAAGTACAGTTTTTTTTCAATTTTTTTATTATATTGAAACATCGAAATAATTTATTTTTGACCTAGGAACCTACCCAATTGGATATATCGGATTTCGTCCAACCACACGCGTGATATTATAAGTAATAAAAATTGGAAAAGTACACAGAAATAAAAGTTATTAATGTAAGACTATACATATATACTTCCACAAGTCTTAGTATAGGTATATCTCAACCTTAATATCTGAAACTGTACGTATTAGGTACTACACGATAGACCACGCTACACAAGTGAGTCTTTAACCGTAGCAATTTGGCTGAGTTCTGATTAAAAATGTATGATTTGGGGTATGTATAAATTTACTAAATCCGTTCCCTCTTCGTGGCTTGGTCATGTTATAATATTAATCGCGGGCGTGTCTTGAATACTGTTAGACTTCAGGAGTCTAAAGTGTGCTATCTTAGCTTCAAAACGGTTTTTTATGTAAGGAAAGTAATCAGCGCCGCCCATGGTCTCTAGCAAAATAAAAAAAGGAATAAAAACTATGTACGATAATTATGTTACAGAAATGGTACGACTACAAGTTACAATGGAACCCTGAGGACTACGGAGGTGTGGAGATGCTGTACGTACCATCAGAACACATCTGGTTACCAGATATCGTACTTTATAACAACTGGGATGGAAATTACGAAGTGAGTAGCGTATTTTGTTTTTTTTTTTTTATATAAACGATCGGCAAACGAGCAGACGGATTACCTGATGGTAAGCAATCAGCGCCGCCCATGGACACTCGCAACGGAGTAGTTACGAGTGCGTTGCCGACCTTTTAGGGATTAGGGATTTGGAGATTTAGGGATTGGGGGAGGGGAAGGATTGGGTCTCCGGTAACCTCACTCACACGGCGAAACACAACGCTGTGGTTATTTCACGCCGGTTTTCAGTTTGGTATTTTTTAACAATCAATTTTTTTATTTATAAGCAATCTTCCTGGCTTACAATTCAGCCGCAACTCTTAATAAATTATATACGTCAATTTTTTCTTAAATCATTCCATCTATTAAACCACCGTACCAAAATCTGTCATGTAGTTTTAATGATTGAAGCACACATAGGGACAGACAGGGGTAAGCGACTTTGTTTTAAAGTATGTTGTTAAATAGTTATAGATCTTTTTTTAATATGCCAAAAATATTTGTCCATTAATTACACCATGTTTGAAATTAAGCCTAAAGGCAGTAAGCTCGCGATAATCTACTATGTTCATCAATTACATTCGTGTCATAAGAAAATCGGAATAAAAAAAACACTGATTCCAACTGAACAAAATAACACTTCTTACAATAATACAGATACATTTTAAATATCAAAATAGATAAATTTTAATAGTCTGTTAGCCTGTACATCAGTGGAATTCGGTGCTAGGGTATTGAATTTGATACTCGTATGTGTGACGAAACATTTATAACTTAGTCTGCTTCTTTGAGAAGTAATAGTAATTTCTCTCGATTTCCAGGTGACTTTGATGACGAAGGCTACGTTAAAATATACTGGAGAGGTAAACTGGAAGCCACCAGCCATCTACAAGTCCTCGTGTGAGATCAACGTGGAGTACTTCCCGTTTGATGAACAGACCTGCTTCATGAAGTTCGGATCCTGGACTTATAATGGAGCTCAGGTTAGTTAATAAATTACAGGATTTTATAATACCCTATTTACCTACTTATTTGATTGAAAACATTTCAAAGTACTAGACCAATTTAATCCTTTTTTTTTGACGTTACGTTTGATACTTTGCGATACGATACTAGTACGGAATGGGTGTCATTGGCAAGAGTTCCGACAAATGTCTACCAGAGCCGAAGGCAAGGGTTGACAGTCGTAACGAGTTAGTTAGTAATGAAATATACTATTCTAATCCTTCGGTAACATCGTGGTAGGCCAGAGTTTAAGGAACAAACCTGTTACTCGTGCACGAGGGCTCGAGTTCAAAATCTGGCACGCACCAACAAATCTGCTTTGAGCAAGCATGGTGATGAATGCTACACCTTATCTGAGTTAGAAGAGGCTCAGCAGTGCCCACTTATAGGCTGATGATGTTGAAACTTTTTTAATCCAAGTATTGTTTATTACACGACAAATAAAAGGAATATTATTTTTTCTATCATTTAACTGACGGACTAAATACCTACATTTTTTATTTACATAATTTGTCATCACCCCTTTCAGTAATTGACTGTTTTGATACATCTATTGTCCTTTCTCCTGAAGTTAGCTATAAGCTCCAAGCAGGCTTAGAATCACTATCGAAGAGGACCAAAAGATACTGTATCTCTTGTGATTGCTCTTAATTCAAGGACAAATTTAGGTCCGAAAGTGAAAGAATCTCCAGATTTTCGTGTGTTCATTGTGTAATAAATTCATTAATTTAATCTTCCAGGTGGACCTAAAGCACATGGATCAGTCCCCAGGCAGCAGCTTGGTACACGTTGGTATTGATTTGAGCGAGTTCTACCTATCAGTGGAGTGGGACATTCTGGAAGTACCAGCTACGAGGAATGAGGAGTACTATCCTTGTTGTCCAGAGCCATTTTCAGGTAACTTCTGACTTTTTGAATGTTAAACATATTTGTAGTAAAAAAGATTATCTATAAGAAAACCAGTCGGGGTTGCGCGGCAAGCACAATACCACAGCCATATGGCTCCAGCCCGAGAAGGAACTAGGTGGTTTTTAGTCAGTAAGAGCCTGATACTCACACCCCCTCCCTCCCCCACACATAAAAACAAAGATCGACAAAAACTATGTTTTTGATATAGTTATGTCGTTTCTTATTCTGGAGTACCTACAATAGATGGAAAAAATATTCGTCTGTAATCGTAGTCTTCAGTCAAGACTTCAAGACATATCAGGCGAGATTACTATCACATACTGAACAAAGTTTTAGACTACACAATTACCTGAACAAAAATGATTTGACCCAATGTTTGTTTAAAGCGCTACCTCAGCAGCCATCTTAGTTAACAGCGATGTGGTCAATGTTTGCTTTTATATACTATGATTTTTCACTAAAACTTTTTTATCACAACGGTTACATTGATTTTAAAATTTAATGATGGCAATACTAACCTTAAAATAGTAGAAAAACAATCATACTGCGCCAATTTACCCTATTGGAAAATCAAGACATTGGTTGTGGCTGGGATTATAACGACATAAAATCTACTATTTGGTATTAAAAATGATTTTTTAGGTCAGCCAAGAAATAAGTCTCAAAATTCGAAATAACAACTAACAAAAATAAAAAAAATACAGTTGTTTATGACAGGTACAGGTAGGTAGTGCATATGCCTTATAAAACGTCATATGACAAAAAGTAACCGATATCAATATTTCGAAAATCGAATTTCTTTATAAAAATCTTGTCGAACGCTATGGTTTTCTCCTATGTCATTCATGCGTTTACAAACTTACTAGTTCATATACCCATTCTACACAGATTGGGAACAACAATCTGTGGATCACTGAAAGAACAGTTTAGTGCGGGCACTACTCCAACTTGGTGTCCTTTTATTAGTCGTTGTTTATGGAGATGACAGTTACAGAATTATTTTCTGAATCATAGTTCAATGCATTGATTAATATTCTCTTTCAGATATAACCTTCAAGCTGACAATGCGCCGGAAGACATTGTTTTATACTGTGAACCTGATTATACCATGCGTTGGCCTTACGTTCCTGACTGTACTTGTATTCTATCTACCTTCAGACTCTGGTGAAAAGGTACGTTTTTATTTTTCTTTATTTGTCTTAAGGCTTGTTTCAAAATGTCTGATTAAGTTTCTATTAGCTTACATACTCCATCATTGGCTCAAACACTTAAAGAACTTATTGGTCTCGAAAACAACTTCGCAATGTTCTCGGATCTTAGCAGTTTCTAGCTTCACTGACGAACAGACAGACTACTATTCTATTTTGACGTTTTAAAGTACCTATTAAGTTTAGTTGGAATAAATGAGCTTGAGTTTTGACTTTGACTTTTATTTCCTTTTATTCATTTATTTGTTTTAGTCGCCAAAAACAACTAAAGGCCTCCTAAAATTTGTCACATATTGCGAACATAAAACAGTAAAAAACTTTATCGATTACATCCATAGAAACTTAATCATACATTATGAAATAATAGCCTTACTATGTTACCTTTATATTATGTGTGTGTTAGATGTGACGACATTCTATAATACAATCACGATCTAGTTTTATTTTTTTAATAATTATCTCTTTTTTGTCTTAGTGTGTTTTATCTTTAGCTTTTTTATTATTATTTTAATTTCTCTAAATAGTTTTTTATCCTTTAATTTGTAAATAGAATACTTACATATTTTTTATAACTTTGATCTTTATTATTAGTTTTTTCTTTACGTTCCTCAATAGATTTGTTATTGAGTTAACTTTTGCTCTGTTGATGAAAAAAAATTTTTTTCAGAAGAAGTTAAGTAAATTAAAAATGTTAAAATCTGTTTTTGCAAAGAAGAACATATTTCATTAGTTCTTGTTTTCGGTAAAACAAACATAAGTAGTAAATAATCATATAGATACTAAAGAATAGATAAAGGAAAAGTTTGTAACGTTGATGATTGTGAAAAAATTTGTGGTAGAATGTCGTCACAATATAGCTTTTTATGTATATGTGAATGGGATGTTTCAGGGCATGTTCATAAATAGCCTTCAATCCGCAATACCATCCCTCACTACCCTCATCCATTGGTAATGGTCTTTTTTGAATCATTAGTTAGACGTGTGCGTGTATTAGTATCATCTCAATATTGTGTCTGTTAGCTATTGTCTTTCCACACTCCAACTTCCATATTCTTTTGAATATGAACTTTAACTGTGCATTCCTCAAAATTATCCAAATCTTCTACTCGTTACACTTTTTCGACATAATTGTCTTACTCAGTATTGATTTCATATAATTCCTGGACTGTACCAATCTATATACCCAAATATAAAATTGACATTTTTAATTTAAAAAATCTGGCATTTATTTTGTTGAAAAATTTTCTTCCTTGATTAGTTGAGTGAACATGGCATCTGCGGCAGGCTTACTTAATTTCTCTTAAGAGACATTATCTACCCTATGTAAGAAAGGGTTTAATTTTATCCCAATTCCAAAATCTTTCAATCCTCCTTTACAATCCCAATGGTATTCTGAATTTTGTTGAAAATTACCATCTCATTGCATGATCCCAAATAATTCACTCATTGGTTGTGCAACACATGATATAAATTGTACCTTTACGTCGTATAAATATAGTGGAAAGACAATTTGTATAAAAATGTAATGTGATAGCTATAGAATGGATTTTCGTGCACTGATACGACAGCAAGTGGAATTAATTTCTGATCAAAATTAGCTGACAACCCTACGAAACGAAAAGTGATGAAGGTAAGCAAGTACGTGCGATTTATATCCATTTAATTGCAGACGAAGAATATGACTTGAAAATTTTGAAAAAGAAGAAGTTCCAGTTTCTGACATTGTAAATAAAATTTACATGGCAGATCAGCATCACACTGGTTCATCGTCACAACAAACATACACAGGCTACATATTTGCACAATGTACATTATAATTAACACATGCTAATCACAAAATTTCTCAAGTCAATCTTCGTTTATAGATTCACATGCAGATGGATCGCCAATATCATCACCAACGCCAGTGGGGTATCAAAGAACGTTTTGATCACAAGCTAATTCCATATTTAGTGTGCTAAAAACCAAACAATTTGAATGAAATAACTCAAAAGAGACTTCTCTTCCTTAGATATCGCTCTGCATCTCCATCCTGGTGTCCCTCACTGTGTTCTTCCTTGGTCTGGCTGAGATCATTCCGCCAACATCCCTGGCAATCCCCTTGCTTGGGAAATATCTACTATTCACGATGATACTCGTCTCGCTCAGCGTTTGGGTGACTGTTTGCATACTTAACGTGCATTTCAGGTAAATATGATTTTTTTCTTTTCTCGTAGATATCGTTAAGCATCTCGATTTTGGTGTCGCTGACTGTATTCTTCCTGTTGCTGGCTGAAATAATCCCGCCCACGTCGCTCGCTATACCTTTATTAGGGAAGTATTTGCTGTTCACCATGATACTGGTGTCTCTGAGTGTCTGGATGACAGTTTGTGTTCTCAACGTTCACTTTAGGTGAGTAAAGAAAGTTAGTTAGCTTCCTTTCTCACGTTTCCACTTCCTCGATTCTTTCTCTGGCTATACTGTCGCTTCGTAGTAGTTTATTATCTAAATCTTGAAAAGTATACAGGTAATAAACTTTATAATAAATATCTAGTGGCAGCGCATAAAACCTTTGGACTAAATAATCAGAACTAAAATTTTATCTGCAGCTTTAACTGTTGTAAAATTAAGTGAAGCTTGCTTAAATAAAAAAAATACTTCAATAATTTTCTGTATTGACGGAAAATTTTTCATGTCTCGCAAAATGCAAGCTTTGAAACTAATTCGCCCTACCCTATCTAAGCTTCCTCCAGCGAAATGGTGTTGCTTGTGTTGTAGTTAACGATACACAGAATACTCTAGATGTTTAGTCAGCACAGTTGATGTCCCATGTCATGCCTATAAATGTCCCAATGCAGGGCCAAGGCCATAGAGTTTTAAAAATAATATGTTCAGCCAAACAGCAATAAAGGAAGACTTTCATAAGTTTAGTTTAAACAACATGTTCCTTCATTTTTATCTTTTCAGCAACTTTAATAAAGATACACGGATAAATATTCGTTTTAGATTACCGAATTTTATAATAAGTGTTTGAGAATAAAGCCTTCTTTACTAAGCTTGTTTAGTTTTAGATTTTTTTTAAATTTTCGCTCTACAAGAATACTTTTAAAAGTGTTTTTTTTAATAATGGGCTTTGCCTAGTTGCGGAAAAATACAGTATATACTTCAACAGTGTAGTTTTTGATCCCTGACTGTACAAGTCAGGGATCAAAAATGCAATTACACTCTACCAATTTTAAAAAGACTAAAATTACTTTGTAGTAAATGTTCAATGGTTCACAGCCAGTTTATTCAATAATTTAGATTCTATGCTATGAATTAAATCAGTCCTCAACCATTGACTCTTTTCTACAAAGATCTATTGGTCATTTTAAAATTGGTAGAGTGTAATTGCATTTTTGACCCCTGACTATACACACCTTTTTATTTGTAACGTTTGGTTCATCCCAGATTGGGCAAGCAATAATGCTATTTAATGTGCCAAAAATATATTTTATCAATGAGCATTTTGTTTCGAATTTGTAAAACCATAAAGAAGAATATTGTTTTTAGTTTGGGCGTTATCTGTAAGTTAATTTTTTAGGGCTGATTTTTCAATAGTCAGATAAATGTTATCTGAAGAATAAAATTGTTGCTGTCACTTTCTTCTTCAAACATTCTTACGCGACAGCAACAATTTTATTCCTCAGATAACTTTATCTGACTATTGAAAAATCAGCCCTTAATAAATTGATTATCGTTTTCTACGACGTCATTTTGTTTAATAGACATCACATGAAGTTGGATTATTTTTTTTTAATTTGGATATGGATTTTATTTTGAATATTTCGTATTTTTATAGGTATTACGATAATTGTAATTTATTTATAATATCGGGGAATTTGAGCAGTCGACGTTTTGTTACCGTAGGCAACCGCCTACATTTAGTTTGTTAACCGGATGAAACAATGTTTTTGTTTAATCTACATATCGCCAAATATACATTAAAGATGCAAAAGAAAATCGCAGTAAAAACCTAGAATTGTAATGAAAAATCGGTCAACACAGTGATAAGTGGTTTCCAAAGGACAGAAACATCTTTTATCTACAAAAAACGCATTTATAATAAAGAAAGAAAATGGTGCCAGGGTTTGGTGAAGTAACTACAGTTTTATTACTACATAGTAAATGCAGTAGCTAGGTTACATGCTTGGTCTCTGTGCATCGAAATGACGCGGTCTCGACACCAGTGTTCCAAAAATTGATGTTTAGTCTTGGGTTGAGTGACAGTATGTGAATTTTTTTTATGGTATAAGTCGGCAAACAGACAGGCGGATTACCTGATGGTAAGCAATCGGCGCCGCCGATGGACACCCGCAACACCAAATGAGTTACGAGTGCGTTGCCAGCCTTTTGAGGATAGGGGTTGCGGATAAAAGGATCGTGAAGGGATAGGGGAAGAGGATTGAGCCTCCAGTAACCTCACTCACACGGCGTATTCTGTGAGTCCGTGGTATCACTCCGGTTGAGCCGACCCATTCGTGCCGAAGCTTGTCCCACACTTATATTAAATGCAGTAGAAAATTCTAGCCGCATCGTTTAAAAAAGTTAAAAAAATTGTCTACATACTTCGTAATAAAATGTGTTTAAAACTAATTTTATGTTAATAAATACGAGGGAACCTGTTAAAAGATTAATTCAAATACTCACCCACACTTGTGTAAGTAGGCTAGCTAGGCGTCTTCCGAAAGTCAAAACAAAAAAGGTACTTGCAGGTGTTAAATACAAATTCTAAGACAAAAACACGATTAGAACAATGTCAATTTGCAAATTCTGTTATAGCAATTCTCGTTCAAAACCTTGTGTGATTGTTTGTGAACCCTTCCATGACACGTAATTAATATTTTTTGTTACTTAGTTTTTAACGAGATTATTTGCACTTGGTAGAATTATTATTGGTTTTAAGTTTACGTCAATCTTATTTAATTACATTGCATTTGTCGATAAAATTGTCCCTCTTAGTCTGGCTGACTATTTATTTCGACACCCATTTCACGATGTTCATAAATTTTCAAATACCTAACTAGAATAGAATATAGAATGTTCCACAGAATTGATAGTCAATGAATAGCCTAAATATTAAAAACTAAGAAAAAGTAGCTGATGATTCCATCTAGCTAAGCTGTAATGTCATACCGATTTTTCCGAAAATCTCGATATTATGCCAAATAACTTGAATTATAAAAATGTTATAAACTCAAGCATATTCCAGAAAAAAGCACTTAAAAATATTCCAAAATAAACAGCAAGCGAAATAAAGGAGACGCATAAATCTGAACGGTCATTGTAATATTGCCACACACATCGCTATCGCGGAACAATAGTGTGAAATATGGTACGGTTTGGTACACTTTAGTTTGCAGAATGCTCTTTATTCAATGCAGGAAGGATGTAATGAGAAGTTAGGTGTTTAGATACTATAAAATATGCTACATTTTATGTAGCTAAAGTTGTTTGGTATACATAGATAAGTATTAATATACTATACCTACTAGCTTCTACCACCTTATGTTGATCAAAAGCAGACTATGTGTTAATCCAGGGATTTTGTGTGAAAGAAAAAAAAAACGCACATCTTCAGTACTATTGTATCTATTTTAGAGTTTTTTTTTGTTTAACTTTTATCGTATGAATGTTTGTAAAATGGAATCTTTTAAGTGTGGGAGAGCCATGCTTCGTCACGAATAGGTCGGCTCGACCGGAGTTATACCACGGCCTCACAGAAAACCGGCGTGAAACAACCACAGTGTTGTGTTTCGCCGTGTGAGTGAGGTTACCGGAGGCCCAATCCTTCCCCTTCCCAATCCCTCCCCAGTTCCTTAATCTCCAAATCCCTAATCCCTAAAAGGTCGGCAACGCACTCGTAACTCCTCCGTTGCGGGTGTATGGGCGCGTGGGCGGTGCATGGGCGGCGCTGATTGCTTACCATCAGGTAATCCGTCTGCTCGTTTGCCGACCGATATTATTACATAAAAAAAATCTTACAATAAACAACAGCAAGTTTTTAAGCAGTTTACAATCGGGATATAGTTTATACACGTTAGGTTTACGTGGCCATAAATGCTAAGCCTACAACTATAAAATATTCTGTAAACTGTTTAGTTCCGGGCATATTGACAAACCTAATAAAACTTGGTTGAAAAAATATTTTAAACCAACTTTTTCAACAATATTTTATTGTCGAATTAATTTCTTTTTGACTCCAGAAACTACCCAATTGAAAATTGACAATAAGAACAGTGAAGTTTACATGTATTTACTTAGTCAGCGCTCCAGAAACGTATCACAATTGTCGAACAAACATACTCTGATTCAGCTACACGGGCATCGAATGTGAGTGGAGCACTAGCAGGCTCGTTACCATAAAAATTAACTGACCATGCACTTGTAATCGCGTGCATACAAATAGTAAACCTCTGTGCATAGTAGTGATGCTCCTACTTTGGCCATTTATTCGATCGCAATGTTAATTCACGTCGACATCGCGCGTCGACTGTTTGGAATAATTGCTACGGCATCGTAGTAGTGTAGTTGTTTTTGTGAAGGGAATATTCCGTTTTTTTTTCTTTTTTGTTCTTTAAAAACGTTGCCCCACACTAGGATTTTCTCCTGTGTCGCGGGTGCATTTACAAACATACAATTTTACACATGACACCCAGACCCGAAACAACAATTTGTAGATCACACAAAGTGTTGTTCCGTGTGGGAATCGAACCCGCGACACGTTGCACGGCAGCTAGTTGCCCAGCCACCGCGCCAACCGTGCAGTCTAATATGTGATGGTAACATGTTTTTTGTTGTTGTATGATTGGTGGGATATTAAATCGTAGTTTTTATATAATAATATAATTAATTTAATATGTATTAAACTATCGTGTTAGATAAGATAGTTAAAAAATGAAAATAAAGAACTAGAATTAGCTGATGAGAAAAAAACAATTTTAGGTACTTACAGCGCGGCGACGCTCGTGAATAAGAGTCCCGTTTTGACTTGAAACTAGTCGAGCTTTTCTCAGTTAATTTGACTGATCTTTATTTTCAATAAATGTTATTTTAAATATTTCGTTTACCGTAAATATGACGAATATTTCAGTTATATCATTAAACTCTGTTTGCTTTTCTATTTTAAATAGACAAAATACAATTTGTAAATGTTTCGTTTAGATAGCAGATAAGGCATTCTAATTCTGAGTCTGAGTTGCTTTAGAAGTATGTATGTCATGAAGCATTAATTGAGTTTGATGTTTCATACAATAAATATAATGCCAAATTTTACATAGAAAAAAATTGACTCTAGGTGGTACTTATCCGAATTGATTTATTGAAAGTAAAACTAACTATCAAGGTAACAGAAGTTTCAAAGCACTAATTTGTTATCAGATTTCCCCATACAACGTTCAGCAAATATCTTCTATACGAATAGTTATTCGGAAAGCACATCCCTAAACGCCGTTTCAAATAAATCTTTCGTTTTCATTGTTATTTTGTCATTACAGTAATAGAACATTGTGTGTGTGATATATGGCGTACGATAGCACGATAAGCTATTACCGCTTTGAATAATTTGCGTCGCTGTATAAAATAAAGCGCAATTTTGTGCGGTAATTAACGTGACAATTTTAGTTGAATCTTGTAGCGCTTAAAGCGACTTATTGTTAAAATTGATGATGTGTAAATGTGTATCTGTGTTGGTAATTAGTACAGGTATACTTTATGGTACAATAGGGACTTAACACGTGTTTTGTGGTTTCGTTAAGGGTGAGTTTGCGAGTTAGCTGAGCAGATAATATAGGACATTTTTCTTTCGTGTTTTGCCGATGAGGCTATGTATAGGTATTAGGTTGAACCCGTTATCTATACCAATATTATAAAGAGGTAAAATTTGTAAGTTTGTATGTAGAGGGTAATCTTTGGAACCGCTGGTCGGATTTCCAAAATTATTTCACTGATAGATAGCTACAATATTCCTGAGTGCTATAGGTTACAAAACATCACGCTACGATTAAATGGAGCCGAGCAGCGGGTGAAACCGCGTGAGAGTAGCTAGTTTATTATATGTATGATATGTTAATATAACTATAACCAAGGAGATGACCTATTTCCAGTATTTTGTTTGCGGCAATATTTTTGTTGTCTTAATGGGGCAATATTGATGCAACCTCAAATAAGAGTGGTTCCGTACTACATCCGATCTAAATCCGATCCGAAACCGAGAAAGTATCTATGGTCTGTCATTTTTGTAAAACGATTGCTATGGTGGCACGCACTATATTTATCAACCGTCATCCGATTTGTATCAAAGAATATCCGAGGCATTTATGAATTTCAGGAAGGTTTTGAGTATTAAAAAGATAATGATATTGTATGAAACTTAATATCAGATAGATTACTTAAGTAAAAAGTTTGTAAACCTTAAAATTTTAAAGTGTACCTTTTTTTGTGAGGTGTATAAAACATAAATACCAATCTAGGACCTACATGACCAATAGATAATTATGAAAATAAACTTAGATTGATTGAAAATGATGTAAAAGTAATTTAAATCGTATAATTCTAAAGAATGCCTGAGACATAGCGAGCAACGTGACAATTGTCTATTAGGACATACCTATTAAGACCCTTTCCCAAAAATGAGAGAAATCATACAAATTAAGAGATGTAATTACTTAGTCCAATTAACTTTTCTGAAAGGTCTCCATCAACCCACACGATGTCTCCGTGGATGAAGAAGCTGTTCTTGCAGTTGATGCCGAAACTCCTCATGATGAGGAGAACCAAGTATTCTCTGCCAGATTATGACGACACGTTTGTGTCCAATGGCTACACAAATGAGCTGGAGATGAGGTAAGAACCTAAAACACTAATCTCAAAAACACAAAACACTGAGCACTAATTACGCCTTTAATGTTCATTGTTCGGCCTGCTCGACGACCGTGCGTCATTGCAGGGATCCAGCAGAATACCAGCGTCAGGTATATACCTGACACATGCTGAGCTGGACTCCCATTTGGTGCAAACCAAATACACACTGAACCGCGCCGTATTTTATTAATATTTTTAACCTTTCTCGTTCTTTGTTTTCTTTCTTTCGTACTACCCGTCTAATACGTAATTTTTATATTTCTTTTTGTTTTATATTATTTTCTTGTTAATTTGTATTGTCTCACTTATTTGTCAATTAATTTGTGTCTGTTATTGTTTGTATTGAATAAATGTGTTATCTATCTATCTACATCAAATAGGTTCAATGTAGATTATCTTATAGTTACCTCTTTCTTCATCTTACCTATTACTTCAAATTAAAAGACATTTTTTTTCTCTTTATCATGTTAAGAGACTTATAAAACATTCGTTACCAAAACAATGCACGTTCGAATGTTAAATTTAAATGTTTTTAGGAATCAATATGTAATTAATGAAATGGCGATTGTGAGCTTACTTGTATTATTTCATTTCTTTTTTTTCGTAATTTAAACATGAAAAATAAAGTATTATATTTATTTATGTAAATTTGCAAGTCCTTAGCTCATTTTTGGGCTTCCTTCCCCATTTGGTACCAAAAATTTTTTCCGTTTCCCTACAAGTGAATCGTCCATGGTTTTAGCATCTCTCGTGGCTTTTTGTTTTTTGGAACCTACGGAAGCGATATATTTTTTCACCGAATGGTAAGCAATCGGCGCTGGTTATGGACACCTGTAACGGCTGAGGAGTTACGAGTGCGTTGCCAGCCTTTTACTGGTTAGGGATTTGGGAATTGGTTATTAGGGGATTAGGGTTGGGTAGGGGTAGGATTGGGCCTTCGATAACTTTAATCATATGGCGAAACACAGCGCAAGCGTTTATTACGCTGTTTTTTTTGGGATGTCGTGGCATCACTTCTGTCGCATCAGCCCAATAATGCCGAAGTAAGGCTATTACATACGCATTTTACTTCATATATGTCACAAACAAGAAAATTACTATTTTGTATTTTCAGCAGGGACAGTTTAACGGACGCTTTTGGGGATTCAAAGGATAATGGTGATTATCGGAAATCACCAGCTCCAGAAGATGACATGCTGTCTGCTGGAGGCGCTCATCAAAGACCATCAGGTACATACAACTTGGAATTGAAAAATTTTCTATTAAAGTTAAAATATTTCAAAGGGTAGTCACTGAAAACGTTTGCAAATCATAGAAGTTACATATTGCTGATAAAGAAGGACAAGTACATATGTTTTATCTCTCTTCCGCATAGTGACTGAATCAGAAAACATGTTGCCGCGTCACCTCTCGCCTGAAGTGGCAGCTGCCTTGAAGAGTGTCAGGTTCATAGCACAGCACATCAAGGATGCTGATAAGGACAATGAGGTAAGTGGAAATTGTTAACTATATTACTATACTTTTATTTATATATATATACATGTCTTCGTCCAAAGCTAAAGTCTTTTAACCACGGAATAGATAAATAAGGTATATCTATTCCGTGGTTATACCTTATTTATCTATTCCGTGCTTTTAACATACATAGGTGTTATCCAAACTCAATATAATTAAATTAAATTCTTTATTCTAGAATAGAGATCCATTTATTTGTGTTTTTAATTTCTTATCCTAATTAAGTTTATATTTTAATATTTATCAATTATTGACATGGACATCAGGACGCACATGTCTACTGACACATTGTCTTATAAACGGCCCATAAGATTTGGTCTGCCAATGTAGCTAGTATATTGTTAGGGCTGTCCCTCAATTATAAAAGTCAATTTTGGCTCCCGCAAACATTTCAGATACACCATTAAGGCAACAACCAGTATCCTCAGCGCATTATTGCATTAAATATAAAAGGGAAAGTCAAAGTCAAAGTCAAAATCATTTATTTCAATTAGACCCATACAGGCACTTTTGAACGTCAAACAAAATTTTAAAGATATAAAGTGTCAGTCTGTCGGTCAGTCCTCTTAGTGAAGCTATTCGCTCGTTCCAAAGTGTAGATTCCGATGGAGAAGAACGAGCAAGAAACTCGATGGTTACTCTTTTAAAATCAGTGTCACATAAATATTCTTTGATACATTATTCAGTTGGTTTGATTATGTGAGAACAGTGTAACGTTTGTATACAGAGAAACATAAAAAGAAAATAACCTTAAGTCAGTCCAGAGCTGATCAGTCAGTACTTTTTGCTGTTGAGTGGCAAATGGATGAATGGATTTAGTGTGTCATACCATAGGCTACTTCATTTTTTTCTTTCTTAACCCTCCAACGTCCCTTAAATAGGGTTTGTATGTTTAAATGCAGCATTGTAAAGTTTTCAACATAGAGAGCGAAAGCCAGTCCGCACATGACTGTTCATATTGCATTATAGTAAAAAGCCTCTTGTACGAGTAATAGCCTCACAGAAAACTGGCGTCAAGTAAGTCTTACGTTGTATTTCGCCGTGTCATTGTGGTTACCGGAGACCCAATCCTTGCCCCCCCTCCACAATACTAAAATTCCTTATCCTTTAATCCCTTATAACTCACATAAGAGGCCGGCAACGCACTTGTAGTAACTCCTTTGATATTACGTGTGTCCATGGGTGGCGCTGCTTGCTTACCAATAGGTAGTAAGAGGACTGCTGAAAAAAAAACGGAACGCACAATGAGATAAGGAATTCTTCTAGAAATATTATAGAAAGACATCATACCAAAAAAATGCTCAAAAGTATTTTAAAAGTTTAAAATAAAAGATAAAAAATACCATTGGGGTTCTAAAAATGCTTTTCCCTTGTTCCTGTATTATCAAATTAAATATTCATACAGCGGGGACTAAGTCATAATGGTTCATGGAACAGGAAGAATTACAACGGCGCGGAGGCTCAAATCCATAGTAAGACATTTTACTTTGTAATATATTTTTTGTATTTTCCAAATTTTGTATAATATGGACATTTTATTTGTATACTACGCCTTTCAAACTTTTTAGGAACAATTTTAATGTATGATGGTAAAGTCTATAGGCCAAAAAAGTAGCCTTAAGATATTTTTTTTCTTTAAACGAAACTTCAGTTGATTTTTTGTCAGGAGGTTTTAGACAGTAAAAATCTGACACTACTTCTTGCCATACCCTGGGCGGGAGAAGCCATTTGAGGGAGGCTCTTCCCTCCTCAAAAAAGGCTGTTGGTTGCTCGATCAAGGGATTGTCATGAAAGCAGAGATACTATTAAAATGGTAGGTGAGGTTTGTTGAAAATGTGACCCACACAGAAGTTGTATCATCACGCAGAAGTGATTCACCAAAATTCGTATCTATTTTGCTTGTGTGTGTAATTATTATACTAGGTGCACTTAAACCGATACATAATCTATTTCATCTACCTCTTATCGTTAAATTCTCAAAAAAGTGTGAGTCATACCACGGCCTCACATAAAACCGGCGTGAAACAACCACAGAGTTGTATTTCGCCGTGAGAGTGAGGTTACCCTTCCCAATCCTTAACCCTACCGTACTCTTATCCCTAAAAGGCCGGCAATGCATCCGTAACTCCTTTTGGGGACGCGGGTATCAAAGAGCGGCACCGATTGCTTACCATCAGGTAATCCGTATTTTCGTTTCCCGACCTATTCCATAAAAAAATAGTTCACTTTTCAAAGAAAGTATCTATTAGCACACAAAAATGTTTCATCCTTTAACAAACTTCCGTGCACCAGTGGTGTTATAAAACAGAATTACCCGCAAATTCGCAGTTCATTGCAGTCTTGCGTGCTCCGTACACTATCGTGCACCGAAAATCGTAAACCCGGCACAAAATACGGAGCCGTAATAAAAGAAGGAATTGTGAAATGTATGTTTGTTTACACTGAATTGTAGCCCTCGCAAATGGCGAATGTACAGTACGTGTACCCCAGTTATTAGATAGCGTGCAGTCTGCAAGTGATTCTCTCGCAACGATTTATTTATTTGCACTCCGGCTATATTAGTTTGCAGAGAAACAGCTTTAGATGATTTTCGTCTACTATTAAGTTTAATTGTATTGTTTCTTTAAAAAAACGTTGCCCCGCACTAACTGACGCACGTTTACAAAAATACAAAATTCCACATGCACATCACAACCAGACCCGCAAAACAACAATTTGTAGATCACATAAAGAGTTGTTCCGTGCGGGAATCGAATGCGCGGCAGCCAGTTGCCCAGCCACCGCGCCAACCGCGCAGTCAAAAGCCGTTTGTTGTATTAGCTACATTCTACATTGTATTAAGAAATCATAGATATCTGAACATTACTTCCTAATCTCCAGGTATGGAAACATGTCAAGTGATTTAGAACTTTAATTATTGTGTCTTTCACTTTATTAGTAACTAGCTACTACCGCGCGGTTTCACTCGCTGCTCGGCTCCATTTGATTGTAGCGCGATGTTTTATACCCTATAGCACTAGAAAACTTTGTAGCTATCAATAAGTGAAAGAATTATGGGAATCCGACCAGTGGTACCAAAGATTACCCCCTACATACAAACTTACAAATTTTACTTCTTTATAATATTAGTATAGATGAAGAACAGTCTTTTTCATATTGATTTTATAACAATTTCTAACAATTTGTTCCTCAACTAATATTAAAAGTACCAGGATAGCATAAAATCAAGCGAGTCGAAGCGACGCACAATGATGGGACAATCAGTCAAAAAATCGTCCAATTTTCATACCTCCTTCCAGTTGATCGATTTCATTGGTTCCTTGCCTCGCTTTGCTGGCTTCGTGAACGTATTAAGCTCAATTGACAAAACGTCTCTGATCGTTAATTCCAATTTAAATATTCAATAGGTATCAGTAAGCATTAGAATTTTGTCGTTCGTTTGTTAAATATTCCTTAATTCGATGTGAGATAATTATATGTAAGTGTCTGTTTGCGAGAGCTAATACGAGTATATTTTTATTTAAATAAAGAATAGGACCATAAGCAATAAAAACAAATCTCTTTTTATCCAATTCGATTTTTAGTTTCCGATTTTAAGTCACTAAACTATATTATAGGTAAGTAGTACAAAAATGAACTGAAAATGTGAGGTGATTGTTTTTTTTTTCGATTAACCCGTTATTTATATTTCTAGTTTTATCAATATAGTACCTACCTAATAATGTTTCTCATAAGAATAAAGAAACATTTCCAAAGCTTAACAATTAGCCAAATAGCTTCATAAACAAATTGATCACTTAATAATAGCAATTAATTTTCCCGCCACTATAACACATTTTGCCGCGCTAATATTGCAGATCTTTACGAGTGAATGTAATCGAATGGTCCCTACGGAACGGGAGTGATGAACGAATGAATGTTTTATTACCCGTGTCCTGGCAACAGATACAAGATAAGGAAATTCGAAAATAATGAATTAAAATCTGATTTGATGAAAAATAGTAAAACAATTTTTTTGATTTTGTTTTAGTATACAGTAATGTGGTTAGCTGCTTAGTTTAACTTGGATTTTCTAAGTGATTATAATTCATATATCGTGAGACATAGGTACTAAATTTATCGATAATAACAACTCTTTCATGTAAATTAACTAAAAGTGAAATGAAGTGTAGGGAAAGTGATAATTTGTACCCAACCATTTCTGTACGGTTGATGTTACGATGCTTTTATATTTTCCATAAAAGTATTCACTTAAAATACAAGTACATAGGTACACGTTATATTTTCCGGGATATAGTTACACCAGTGTGTCCCCTGTGGCGGTAATTTTCTTCTAATGCGGACAAAAAGCGTAAGAGAATGTTCAGTTTCTTATACGAGGTGAAAGAAGTTAGAATTGTGATGACATTATTACTACCTGTAGGTATTTAGAAAATGCTGTCTGGAAAAAGAGGTCAATTGGCAAAAAAGGAAAAGTCATAAAAGAATATGCTTTTATAATAACTATCGTGAGACATACTAAATTAACTAACTAACAATCGCGGGTTATTCACGTGCTTTTTATATGTAGGTAATAGGTCGGCAAACGAGCAGTTAGTTACTTAATGGTAAGCAATTAGCGCCGCCCATGGACACCCGCAACGGAGGAGTTGCGAGTGCGTTATCGTTCTTTAGGAATTAGGATTTTGGAGATTTAGGGTTTGGGGAGGAATCGATGGAGGGGAAGGATTGGGCCTCCGGTAACCTCATTCACACGGCAAAACATAACGCTGTGGTTGTTTCAGGCCGGTTTTCTTTTAGGCCGTGGTATCACTCCGGTCGAGCCGACCCATTCGTGCCAAAGCATGGCTCTCCCGCGATTGTTAATAAAAGATTATGCATTGAAAAAATATTTAATTGCAAATATCTTTTTAATACATGGATATTCAGAAGCATAAATATTTTGATTGAAGCAGAAGCTTTGCATGTATGCA